GCCCCTGTGTGCTGGGTGCAGTACGACACTTGGTGGCTTTGCTTGAGTTTACAAACCAAAATACACAGACCATCTGTTGGGTGGGGAGAAGAATACAACCTGTCTGTATAATTAATGCAGTTATTTATATACACGTGAGCTTCAATATTATACAAAATAAGTATCCCTGATAGATCTCCTCCTGTTAAAAGTACTCACACCCAGGTTTTTAAATAATTCTTTAGTAATACAAAAAGCTCACATCTATAGACTCACAAAATTACAACAGAAACTTAACGCAACAATTCTTAATAAATAAACCAAAATATTGAATACTTGAGAATAAAACTGTTATAAAGACCAGTTTAAAAGAAGGAGAAGTCAACTGATTCTATTTTTGAACCACAATAGTCTCCCAAAGGGGAGGTGCACCATTCCCGGAGGTACTGCAATACCAGCTTGATGCATGGAGTGGATGGAGAAAGCTCCTATTCCATCTCCCTGTTCCAAAAATCCATTTAATATATAGTCCTCAGATAGAGGACATATCAGATATTAAACTGATAAGAACAGATTTAATTTTTTTTATTAAAGTTAATGTTTAAAATGAAATATACACGAGTTAAGAGGCAAGGTACTGTACATCTGAGTCAGGCTTAGGTTATGGGGGGTTACAGGTATCATTTGCAAGGATGAAAAGATACATACATATCGCATAACCTGCATAGACCCAGATTGGGGTGCAAGGGTTTTTAAAGTGTCAGTGGATAGGTGGGCTCGGGTATGCCACCCATGGAATGTATAAGGAGTCCAAGTCAGTATCGGTGTAGCGGATAAGTACATGGGTGGGGTTCGTCCCTGGTCCGTCAGAGAAGGAAGTAGGTTATTTCCCTGGTCAGCGGTCTCAGTTACTCAATGTGGTATTGACGGTGTCCTGTGATGTGTTCCGTATAAATGTCTCTGGACCACCTGATAGTGTCGGACACCATGAGCTGTCTCATGAGCCGGGCGTAGCATCGACCGACTCCGCACGGTCTCAGAACCGGCTTGTTGTGGGGGTCCCACGAGCCCAGGGCTCCCACGATCAGGGTGTGTATCTGGACCTCGTAGCCCTGGTCTCTCAGGGTCTCAGCCAGCGGGGTGTACTTCGATGCCTTCCGTGCTCGGGCCTCCTGGAGGGCCGGTGACCAGTTTTCAAAAGGCACCGTGACATCTACGATGAGGACCTTCTTCTTTTCTGCGTCCATCACGACGATGTCAGGTCGTAGTCTGCTGTCTGTCCCGGGGATTGCGGAGTCGAGGGTGATCTTCCCCAGGGACGGCGGGATGGCTTTCACCAGCCTGTTCTGGATGGCATTGTGGCGGTACCGCCAGGCTCCGGAGTGCTATTTGCATCCACACAGGATGTGGGGCAGGGTCTCGTTTGCATAGCTGCACTTCCTGCAGCGCTTGTCTTGGTTGCCGTGGCGGATGGCTCCGTTGAGGGGAACGCAGTTGAGTCGGGCCCTGTGGACAAACCGCCAGTCAGCGAACCTGGTGAAGCTGCCCCCGGGGAGGAAGTGGTTGCTGGCGTCCCACTTGCTGGACACCTCGAACACCTTGCCCTGGTCCGGCTTCCGCTTGAGGCCTAGTGGCAGCGGATGGTGTCCTTCAGGGTCTTTTCCAGCATAGCTCTGGCGGTCGGGGTGACGATGGTGTGGTCCGGGGTCTTTAAGCATGGTACCAGTATTCCCAGCTCCCAGCGCTCCTCCCACCACTTCCAGCAGCAGCCGATCCTCTTACCCAGGCGTCTCGAGGCATTGCGGGTGCAGGACCAGAGAGAGGATAGGTCTCCCCCCTCTCTCCCAAACTCAGCCTCCAGGGAGCCACTGAGGTAAGTGGCGATGTCCTGCTCGGAGGGTGACCTGGCGATGCGTTTCCTGACCACGGCTCATACGGCTTCCTGTGCGATGCTCCTCACCGTCGGGTCTGAGCACGTCAGGAGGCGGAAGGTGTGGGTCATCACCGTCACGTTGCACAGGTTATTAAACTGATAAGAACAGATAATGTTTTCACCCTTCAGCCAAAAGGCCGAGAAGCGATACTTTATGTTGAAATATTATACAGCCCTCCCATTCCTACAGCTCTCTACGTGACAGTGACACATGCCAGCGAGCGCCACTAACGCCATAGCAATTCTCTGACAACTTCTAATCTAATCATACTTCCTTCACCTAATCGCTCCATTTTTACCATTCAAAGCAAACCGCCTCCTGCCTGAAAATTCAGCTTCAAAACTAATACATTCCTCAAGCTTGTTAGCTGTTGCCTTGTCGCTCGTTTCTCTGCCTGAAAGATACTCTCTATTTGCATGAAGCCAGCCCCTTCGCTGCAACGTGCTGAGGACATCGGGTTGCTAACCAGTGGCGTAGCCAGGTCCTAAGTGCAGGGGGAGCAAAAGGCGCCCCCCTTGGCTCCTCCTCCGGTCGCTCAGCACCCCCCCCCCCACTGGCTCCTCCGGCCGCACTGCGCCCCCCCTTCAGAGGGGCTTGGTCCGGGGGGAGGGGGCCGGGGACGGGCTGGCGGCGAGGGCTAGCTGGGGCTGGCGGCTCCCCCTGGCAGAGCAGCAGGCACAGCCTTCGGGGAGGCCGGAGGTCTCCTCATGGCAGAGGTGCGGGGAAAGCCGCACGGCTCTGGCCGCGTTCCGGGAACCGGGGCCGCCGCCCTGGGGCCCGAGCCGGGCCCGAGCCACTGGGGCCAGGGGTGCTTGGCCGGCGCTGCTCAGCTGGTGCCGCTCAGCCAGGGCTGGCACCGGGGCCGGCACACTCGGCCGGGACCCGAGCCGGAGCCGGAACCGCCAGGGCCGGGAGCGGGCCAGCGCACTTGGCCGGAGCCGCCAGGGCCGGGGCCGGCACCGGGCCGGTGCGCTTGGCCAGAGCCGCCAGGGCCAGGACCGGGCTGGTGCTGCAGGGCCAGCGCCGAGCCGGGCCGGGACCGGGCCGGCGCCACGGGTCCTGGGCCGGACCCGCTGGGGCCAGAGCCACCGGGGTTGCTTGGCCGGCGCTGCTGGGGCCGGGGCTGAGCCAGGCCGGAGCCACCAGGGCTGGGAGTGGGCTGGCGTGCTCGGCCGGAGCCGCCAGGGCTGGGGCTGGGGCCGGCGCCGCGGGGCCTGGGCCGAGCCGGGCTGGAGCCGCTGGGGCCGGAGCCGCCGGAGGTGCTCGGGTGGCGCCGCTGGGGCCGGGGCCGAGCCGGGCCAGAGCCGCCAGGGCCGGGAGTGGGCCGCGGCCGCTGGGGCTGGCCGGAGCCGCTTGGCCGGGGCCAGAGGGAGCTGGCCGGACTGGACTGCGCTGTGCCGCACCTCCCCGGAGCCCTCCTTCTCGCGTCCCCCCCCACCCCAGCCCAAGCTTACCTGCTGCTGCCGGCCTGCCCCTGCTTGTTTTCAGACTTCCCGTGAACATGTGATTCGTCGGAAGCAGGGGAGGGGGAGAAGCAGGGGGGCGGAGCGTTCAGGGGAGGGGAGGAGGGGGAAGTGAGCTAGGGGAGGGGTGCACAGCTGCAGGGCCCTTTTAGGCACCGCTTTTGAAAAATGTGATTAGGGGAAGCAGCTGCTTCCCCTGCACCCCACTAGCTACGCTAGTGTTGCTAACGCTATCGTTGCAAGTTTAGACTTTGTGCCCTGCTCGCTCCCCCTACAGCACACAGGATTGTCTTCCCTTTATCAAGGAAGGAAGAGCTTAAACAGTACTTAATTTGTAATGAAAGAGGTGCCGGGGATCAAGCAATTTTTTTTTACATTCATAACTGATGCAGCAAGCCCAGAAGTGCCAGGACTATGAACTGCCAAGCCTAGAGGTCCTGGGGCTCAGCCCGGGCACAAATTAAGCACTGATATTTACCCTACTCAAGTGCCTGAGCCTGTACACCTGACCCAAACAAGTCTGTAGGCCCAACACAGAAGAGAGACAAGTTAGAGAAAGAGGAAAGAGAAAGAAAGAAATGTTTGTGTTTTGGTGTAAGCGGCACAAGGGAGGATGGGAGTCTCTGAACGATTATTTTTCTTCGCTTTACACACAGCTGAGGGATGATGTTCATTCTGCAGATAATTAGCAGGATATTACTGAGGGGTTGTCAAACCTGATTTGTATGTAAGCCCTCTGTGCAGGGACTAGGGTGACCAGACAGCAAGTGTGAAAAATCGGGACGGGGGTGGGGGGTAATAGGCACCTATATAAGACAAAGCCCCAAATATCGGGACAGTCCTGATAAAATCAGGACATCTGGTCACCCTAGCAGAGACTGTATTTTTGTTCTGTGTTGGAACAGCACCTAGCACAGTGGGGTCCTCGTCCCTGACTAGGGCTCTTAGGCACTAGAGGAATACATAAATAAGCAAAACCAGTACTTTAGTACTGAACTCTTAATGCATAAAAGGCAGATACAAGTCACACATTAGAGTAATTGAAACAGAGTTTGGGTTGCATTTTAATGAGGATATGTCTACACTAGCACTTTTGTGAATAAAACTTTTGCACTGGTGTGGACAGCGCTGTGTTGGTGGGAGAGGCTCTCCCACCGGCATAGCTACCGCCGCTCATTGGGGGTGGTTTAATTATGCCAACGGGAGAAAGCTACACTGTGGCACGGTGTGCTGCTGTAAGGTCTGTAGTGTAGACAAACCTGACTTTCTCCCTTTGGCTCTCAAACCCCTCTGACACGCTTTACCCCACCCTTTCCCAACTGTACAGCCCTCACTGGAAATGTCTCAGTGGTACTCTAATCAGGTTGTCATTATATTAACTTG